ATAAAAATACCACCACGTCGAGAACACTGAGAGCCAGGGAGGCCACCCACAAGACAGGGCTCAGGAGAGCAGAGCTGGTGGTGTGGTGGGCCTCCCCCCAGAGGTGGCTCTGAGCTGTGTAAGGATGAGTTCTCGAGGTATGGTCACGCAGGGAGAAGGAGCCAGGCCTGGTGGTCTGGGCAGAGGGATACTCAGATTTATGGAAAAGGACATCCTGACATCAAGGCTATGCAGCAGGCACAGCCCAAGAAGGCGGGGGAGATGCAGGCCCAGCAGTTCCAGGAAGGGGACTGGCTCTAGGAGGGTCCAAGAGAGAAAAGCAAAGAACAAGAATCACAGTTCTGGGCGTCGAAGGGAAGCAACCTGGCATCCAGTCACTGCCACTCCACTTGGTTTATAGGCCAGGCACTGAAGTGGGCCCTTGGCCTATATGAGCTCATTTGTTCTTTACAACCAGACGTTATTGCACCTGCTTGAAAGATGAAGAAACTGAGGAGCAGAGGCAGTATTTGAGAGCTCATCTGAGGCCTGAGGAAACAGCCTCAGGGGAGTTAACATGTCTGTAAGAGAAAGAGTAAAAGGAGCAGACAGCCTCCCACATCCACCCCACAGCACCAGAAAAAGCCGCTGCCTCCGTGGTGCCTGCCCCAGAACCTCCAGACACACCACCGGAAGCTAGGCAGCATGGACCATGTGTCACATCCATCCACTGCGATGAATCCTCTCTCTGGTGACGTGGGAACAGTGGACAGAAGAATGGCCCACTGGCAGTGGCATGTACGTGTGGCCGGCCACTCCATGTCATCTCAGGTCCTCAAAGTACACTCAGCATCTCCCGTGGCTGTGGAAAAGGATTAGGCCCAGCCCTGTGCTCGCCGGCTGCAGCCCTAGCAGGGCCCTGGAAATCCTCTGAGAAGTTTTGCTTCGTCAGAAGCCACTTGGGCCATTTACATCTTCCTGCCTCCACATCTCAGCCAGCTGCAGTCCCCAGCCTTTGCACTCCACAGACCCCCCAATAAACCAAAGTCATCTCACCAGAACTCCTGGCATCTTGCAGGTGGGTGGGCTACGATGTCCCAGGGAGGGGCTGCCACACGGAAGGCACATCAGAGGAGGTGGCACCCCCAGGGCCTCCTCGCCGGTGCCTGCCTCTGGCTCCCAGTGACTTCACACCAGGAACCCCACCAGGACTGGTGACGAAATCACCCAGAAAAGCCTCACATTTACCACAGGGCCTTCGAGTGCTGCCACCACCCAAGGACTTCAGTCCTGGGGACAGAGCCAGCCCCACCTCCTCCTCTCTACCCCAGTTCTTCTGCAGTGAGTCACCACTGCATCACAGACGGGCACTCCGGCTGCACGCCTGGTCCACCCAGTATGAGCGGCATCATGGCACGTAATCTATGCCTTCGGTTTCTGCCCTGTGCTCCTGGAGTTCTTAGGCAGGAGGGGGCCCGGGGAGCAGGGTCAAGGGACACTGGGAGGACTCTGGCCTTCACCATCATCATTTTTGCCTCGATTATATATAAAGGCTCGGGATAACATTTTGATCAGAAGGAGAAAAAAAAAAGAGGGTCCAATTGCTTTAAAACGTTTGAAAAGCACTGTTCAAAACGAATAGGCAAATCAGTACACAACTTGGTTACCAACTCCCACCTGACGGGGGGGAGCGGGGGGAGGAGTGCCCGTTTCTCTGGGAATGCCTGGTTCTTCCTTAGCGGTAAGGACGTGCCCTCCAGGGCTTCCCACTGCCCAAGTGTCAGCCCCCAGGAACCCTTCACAAACACCCCCCCACCCCGGCCTGCAGCACAGGTCACTCCACCAGAGCAAGTCCCCCACCTCCTCCACCAGGCACAAGGGGACAGCCACCAAGGCCCTGTCCTGTCACTCACTCATTTGGGACCCTTTGCAAAAAGTGCTTCTTCTGAGCCCGGCCAGTGTGGCTCAGTGGTTGAGCATTAACCTATGAATGAGGAGGTCATGGTTGGATTCCCAGTCAGGGCAAAATCCCCAGTAGGGGGGAGATATATATATACTTTTTTTAAGTGGTCCTTCTGAGTCCCCACATGCTAAGCTATCCATGTGCCCCTGGCAATAGCCCAGGCCCATTTCTCTTACAAATCTATCAGTTCTAAAAGGGACAGACAAGGGTCAGAGAGGACAGAAGGGGGACACACACTCCCAGCAACAATAGGGCCCCACTCAGTCCTGGTCACCAACAAGTATCTAGTGGCTAAAGCCAGGCTACCCCTGTTCTCTTTTGGTTACAAGCTTTTAGCCCCAAACCTTTTCTTTGGAGAATGTTCAGAGCTAATTATCCCAATGTGTCTTTTATAGAGTTTTTTCATCCAGGATCTAATCAAGGTTCACCTATTATATTTGACTAGAGGCCCGGTGCACAAAATTCATGCACTTGTGGGGGGGGTGTCCCTCAGCCCAGTCTGCACCTTCTCCAATCTGGGGCCCCTCGAGGGATGTCTGACTGCCTAAATGGGTCGTTGGACATCCCTCTCACAATCCAGGACTGCTGGCTCCCAACCGCTCACCTGCCTGCCTGCCTGATTGCCCCTAACCACTTCTGCCTGCCAGCCTAATCACCCCCTAACCCCTCCCCTGCCAGCCTGATCGACACCTAACTACTCCCCTGCCAGCCCGATTGCCCCCAACTACTCCCCTGCCAGCCTGGTCACCCCCAACTGCCCTCCCCTTCAGGCCTGTTCCCTCCAACT